CATTGTGTTAAGAATATTTTGAGTATTCAGAGCCTTTTGTGTTTTCATAAGAATTTTAAGATTTTTTTCTTATTCTGTGAGGATGTCATCAGTATTTTGATGGGGACAACATTGAATCTCTAAATTGTTTTGGGTAGTTTTGATATTTTAATTATTAATTCTTCCAAATCAAGAATATATGAGGGAATTCCATTATTTTGTGTCTGCTTCATTTTCTTTCATTAGATTCATAATGTGTTGAATTTCATTGAAGAGGACTTTCACATGCTGGTTGAACTTATCACAAGGTATTTAATTTTTTGTATCTGTATAGAATTAGATAGCACTTACCAATTCTCATCATGATGGTTGAGTATATAATAAGGCCATTGATTTTGGAATTCCACACTGTGTAGCTAATAAAGAATTACTAATCCAGAACACATAAGGAATGGAAACACTTCCCCGTCAGGTGGAGGCCTCACAGCAGGAATGTGGGATTTCCCTGGGTCATGAAGGGGGATGTGAATGAGTTGGAGGTGTTTGTTATGTGTGGATGCTGTGTGTGATCCATTCCATCTGTGCTATTCTGACATTAAACACACTGCTTATCTGCCCCATGTGCAGGGGACATAGGGTGACAATGACAGTGACTCTAATTCAGCAAGGGCAAAAATGGAGCCTACAAGGAAGTCATGAATCCAAAAGTTTTCAAGTTGAGATGGGCAAATCCAACAGGACTTCCTGGGATAGGTTTCAAGGCTGAGGACTAATCCTCTGTGATGTGGGGCCTTGCCTCTGGGTCTCAGCCTGTGATACTTCCTTCTTCATTTGAACCAGTACTTGTCTTTTCTTCTCACACTCCTCTGATGTGTGTCTTCTTCCTGGTGTTAGCAGCCTTCTCTTGGTTGTTTTGCACATACACCTTACCTGAGTCAGTCTGCCAATGCCCCGTGCTTGGCTCTGACCACATTCTACCAGGGGCTGTTCTCACGATCTCAGGCACTCAGGAAAATCTTTATTGACCTGATTCTGTTGGTCATTGTGTTTTTAATTTTTTATCTTTGAAACTAGCAGCATTGCCTCGCAGAAAAGCTGGGTCCACAGAGGTCCAGAATGAATCTCTACTCTCCCTGACTCCAGAGACAAAAAGAAGACATGATCTCCATACAGAAATGACCTCCATGAGGTCTGACAGTCTCCACCATTGCAGCAGAGGAGAAACCTGGAGGGAGAATTCCAGAGGTAAGGGACCACACAGGACAGGCAGGGCTGGTGTTAAATACTCATTCAACTTATGTATTTCTCTGCTCCCATTCTATCACCCAGTGGATTGAAAACAGACAGAGAATACATAATGGACAATAGAAATGTGGGAAAAGCTGTGTCCAAGGAATGACCTCATACTTTGTTTGTTGTTTTTTAGGAGCAGTAATAGCAGTGCTTTATCTGACGTCTACAAACCCAACAATGCATTCTTGGAAGACAAGAGCCATGCTCGGCACAGGGAAGCTGGAGGTCAAAGCTTCATGGGGTGGCCTCTCCTTCCATCAGCTGTGGTGCTGAGAACAACCTCTTAGTCTCTATGGACCCCAGGTCCTCATCAGTGAGGTAAAGTGTGTATTGTTCCTCTCTGAGGTCCTGCTGCTTAGGTTTCCTCTGAGTCCCTGGGGAACCACACGTGCCCTGGGAACTGAGGCTGAGAGCTGACCTAGTCCCTCCTGTGTCTCCTCCCAGATCGGAACTGAGTCCACATCCTGAGAACCCAGAACTGACGGTGCAGATGAAGGAAGATGAGCAGCTCTCTGGGACGTGAGAATGACCCAGAGAATGACAAGGTAATGTTAGGGTGAAACCAAGTGTGGGTGAGATGAAGGACACATTGTGTCAGAAACCTCAGGGGATACTCAGAAAGGCCTACTCCACTGTCCAGCCCCTGAAGGAGCACCATTCCACTGAGTACCTGAGGTCAGGAGAGAAACTGACTCCACAGTGAACCTGTGCACCTGGCCAGGGAGATCCCTGGATGGACTCAGAGCAGGTTTATGCCTGAACACAAGCTTTCCATGCAAGCTAGAGATCCTGGTAACTTCAGGTCACCACCAAAAAAAAAAAAAAAAAAAAAAGAGAGAGGAGAGAGAGAGAAAGCACAGCCTTCCTGCCCTCTTCAGCTAGGTACATTTTTCCACCCATGCTCAATTCCGCATGCAACACACTGCACAATCCAATAAAATGGCAGTGGTGCAGTCACAGGCCCCAAAGTAAGGATCCCCATGATCCCCACATGGGGCCAAGACCTATGTACATTGTTCACAAGGCTTTTGCTTTCTCTGTGCTATAGTGTGAAAGCACTCACAGAACTCAGTAGCCAAAATAATTAATCATTCATCTGAGAAATTGGCAAAGGACCTGAGTAGACATTACTCCATGAAAGGAATATGCATTGCTACCAGGTTTATGACAAGTTGCCCATTATCAGTACTCATCAGGGAAACACCATTCCAAACCACAGAGGGATATCCCCTCAGAACCATAGGGTCAGCTGCTTTCACAAAGACAAGAGAGAATAAATGTGGGCAAGGGTGTACCAAAAGGAAACACTTTTACATTTGTGTGAGAATGTTGAGTGTATGGCCATTATAGAAAACATTATTGAAGTATTTTGAAATGTTAAACTAGAACTGTCAAATGACCCATTCATCCTCCTTATTGGTATATGTGCAAAAAAAGAAGAAACAAAAAACCATATCAGATATATACCTGCAATCCCTAGTCGATGCCTTATTCACAGAGGCCAAGATGCAAACTGCCTAAATGTCCATCAACAGAAGGTTGGTTAAGCAATCTTGCTGTCCATATATATGGCTTGAAAAGTATATTTTAATAAAAGGATACTACAGAATTTCCATGACACTTTGGAATCACTTGAAGATTTGAATCATTCTTAACATGTCTGTGTATAGATATTTATATACATATAATGTGTGAACAATACATTATACATGATAGATGTATGATGATGCTTAAATATATATTTATATGATGGAATGCTGTTCAACTCAAAGATAAAGGAACTCCTGTCATTTGTGAGAAACTGGATGAAATTGGAGGACATTATGGTGAGTGAAATAAATGAGATATAGAAATAATAACACTGCATGAAGTCTGTTATGTGTGGAGTCTGAAAGAAAAAATGGAAAATTGTTGAATATGTCAAAACAGAGAATATAAGAGAAGTCTTCAAGGTGGTGCAGTCTGGTGGGAAGAATAGAGAAATGTTGACCCAAGAGTACAAAGTGGTAGTTATAGAGAAGAACTAAATCTAGGGTTCTGAAGTTAAGCATGAGAATCTGAGTTATTAGTGGAGCATGCTATTTCTCCATTAGAATGAGAAAGTCTGAGAATTTTCTAACAGTAGATTTTGTGGGTTCTTACCATGTGCAGGCACATAAAGGTTAACTGTGAGATGATGAATATTTTATTTACTAGTCTAGAGGAATCATTACACTATGGATATGTACATTACAATATCATTTTGAATATTTTAATAATTATTTTAAAAGATGTATTATTCTATTTGAAAAGCAGAGTTACAGACAGAGAGGAACACACACACACTGAGAGGGAGAGACCTTGCATCTTCTGTTTCACTCCCCAAGTGCCTACAACAACCAGGGCTGAGCCAGGCCAAAGCCAGGAGCCCAAAATGCCATCTGGGTATCTCACAAGAGCTCAAGGGCCAAGGACATAAGCCATGTTCCACTGCTTTCCCTGGCACCTCAACAGGGAGCTGGATCAGCTGAAAGTGGAGCCGCTGGGACTCCACCAGCACTCATAGAGGAGACCAGTGTCTCAAGTGGTGGCTTACCCCACTATGCCACAGTGGAGACTCCTACATCTATTTAGACATCAGAATTTAAAATTTCAAAAAAAAAAAAAAAACAGTTTTGATCATCCACTCAAATGGAAACCTTAAAATGTGCAGCTTTTGGGACTGGCATTTCATTCAGCAGTTAAGTGGCTTTTGCAATGCTCACATATAGGCCCTACATATAGGATGCCTGTGGGTGAAACTGAAAGTGGAAAGAAGTGGTTACTAAAGGAGGATGCACATTCCCTGAAGGGCGGAGAGAGCTTCCTCTTTGCTTATGGCCTTGTCGAGCTAGGTGGATCCAGAAGGCTTCTGTAGCTGAGGCAGCTCATGTCAAGCGCCCTGGGTGAGCACTGAGGTCAGACATAAGAGTGTGATTTGTTAAAGACACAGTGAGAGCCACTGTGCACTGCCCTCTGTCCTCAAAGCTATATCAAGGGACTTCATAGTAGAACTGTTCTCCAGAATCACTTCCTTTAGTGCATTAAATGGAGGATATTCTTATGTCTCATAGGTTATAGTTCTGTCTAAGAGCTCACAGCAGATGTATCATCCGTGGGTTCTTCTTTGAAGACAATTAAGTTTCTAAAAGGAAAGAAGGGAGAAGAGGAAGGGAATAGCAGAAGGGGGCAAAAAGTGAAATCCCCTTTGAGAAGCAGTAACCTTGGACAGCCCTTTGCTAGGCTGCTGAGTAACAGTTCTCTTAGTTTTCTTGTTCCATTCTGTCTTTTTTCTTTCTCAGACTAAACAGGAGAGTTGGAGGAGGAAGAGGGGGAGAATAGGTGGGAGGGCAGGTAGGTGGGAAGAAGGACTATGTTCTTAACATTGCATTTATGCCATAGATACAACATTAAATAAGAAGTTAATTTAAAAAACCACTTCAAATATGTAACACCCATATTCCTCAAAATAAGTTTGCCATCATTATAAAATTAGTTGCAGTAATTATATATAATATATTATTAAAAGCATTAGGTTCTTCCCATACATTTGCAGAACAAATTGGAGTTCTGCACACCAAGTGTCACCCTGGCCAAGCCTGACTGTTGCATGCTTTTGGGGAGTGAAATAGTAATGTAACACAGAGTTTTGGTTGTGTTTCTCTGTGTGTATGTCTCTACATCTTCATCTTTACATCTCAAATAAGTATAATTAAACAAAGAACATTTTCATTTCCATATGTTCAAATATGTTCAAATTAATATGTTCAAATTTTCTGTTCAAAGTCATTGATAAGAAGATGAATATACAGGCCAACATAGGGAGAAACTTTTTGAAATTGCATACCTAATATAACAGTTCTATCCAGAAAACTAAAAGAACTCTCAAAATTCCTTTCTAAGATAATAAAATGACCCATTTATCAGGGAAGCTTAAAATTCAGCATTTCAAACAGGTAGAAAAGCCTTGAGATCTCTTTAAACAGCAGGTGGGGTGACTTCCTAACAGCCCTGAGAAAGGAAGGCTTGTTGGGACACATTTTCTGCCTTGGTATTTTCATACACATACATGACTATATGAGCGATACATGCTTAGGTGATTTGGGGACACGGTCTGTAGTATCAGTGCAGGATCTATAACTATGAGACTGGCAGATGGGTAGGTTGTCCCCACCAGTGGGGGTCTTGTGCCTCAACCTAGCTTAGGCCCCTGGAAGGCAGAGTTCCAAAGATTCCATGACACGCTCCACCTTCTAATTCTGTGATGGCAACGGCAGACCGTTAGCTGCCACACAACAGCCAGTCCTAGCAGAGACTGAGCTACAGGCAGTGCCTTGAATCTAGGCTTTGGCAGTTTTATCCTTGTTTGTCCAGTGAAGAACTTCCCAGTGTTGTCGGGCAGTGGATCAGGTGTTTCACATCAGTAAGTGAAGCTTGACTGTTATTGTCACCCCTCAAGCCTACCTGAAACTCTTGGATGTCATTTGTTTGACCCTCACCTGTGTTTGGGTTTCCTCTCCCCAGTCCCTGTTGTCCTGCTGTGACACACCATCAGCATGGCAGGATCCCACAGCCCTGCCTCAGATCCCGATGGCAGAACTGAATGACCTCGAATGCCAGCAATTGAGATCCCAGCTGGCAAAGAGCCAACAGGACTGCTGGGAGCTCCAGGAGAAGTTTCTCATAGCTGAGGCTACAAACTTTGCCCTGGCCATGGAGCTGAAAAAATACAGTAAGTTCTCTCGGGTCATTTCACCACAGTGAAGATTGTCCTGTATCTTCTCCTGAGGAACTAAATGGCCTCACTACTTCATTGTTGTCTTCTTTTTGCTGAACTTAATTTCCTCCTGACCACACTCCCAAGCTGACACACAGGGTTTCGCAAGTTTTCCAAGGTAGCAGTGAGGTGTAGGGTGACAGGAGTGCTGAATCTTTCATGGATTCCTGTTGAGGCATCGAGCTGCCTGTTGTCCTCAGGGTCAGGCTCCACCATATTGAGTGCATGTTTATGATCATCCTGTCTGTGTCAGCTCCTGCAGCCTTATACCATCACTGTGGGCCTCATTTCTGGGGCTAACGCATTTCACTCAATTCAAGCTTCCGTTGAGTTCCCATTGGCAAAGCACTGTCCTAGGTCAGGAGTGGACATGTGTTCAGAGTGAGCAGGATGTGCTTCCAGAGAGACAGAGAGTCTCCTGTGCACTGGAACTCTGGTATCCATGGGAACACCCTCACAACACAGCCTCCCCACTGGGAGAAAGTCCTGCTCCTGGAGCACAAGTTCTTCTTCCAGAAGAGGAAGACGCTGCCTGAGACCTGGGAGTGGGAGCACAGGGTGTAGGGGGGGAATCAGGCCCACTCACCTGGGTGCTCCCCACTGCCCACCTTCTCTGTAGCTTCGATTTCTCTCCCATTCATAGGTGCTATCATAATTCCTGCCTCTGTAGATTGTCACAACAATATGTGCTCCTTCTTTCCTATACAACTCCAAGGATGGTTCCTTGCTCAAGATCAACAGAATCCATGAGGCCCTTATTGCACTGTTTCTAATTTAGCAGGAACTATACTTTTTCTTGGGCCATATTGCCTCAGGGCCTTACTTTGTTATACATTGTATTCTACACAGTTCCATGAAAGATGGTCCCTTAAGTCTGAAATAACAAACACTTGAAATCTTTCCCAATGCAAGGAAACAGTCCTACACCCTTATCAAGCTCCCAAATATACAGAAGGTGACGACTTCATGCCCCAAGTTCCTGTTTGACCTGAGAGGCTGCAAGGCTTGCTGAGTCCAGTGGCTCATGATTCAGTCTGAGCTCAGGGGCTGGGAACTCTGATTCTGTAAACACCAGTGGAATCACCTTGTCAAGTCACCTTCTGTATCTTTGAAGTCCTTTTTTTCTCATTTTACTGGGAAATAGCAGGGTCAGTGCTGTGGTTCAGCAGGTAAAGCCGCTGCCTGCAGTGCTGGCATCCCATATGGGTACTAGTTCAATTCTGGCTGGTCCACTACCAATCCAGCTCTCTGCTATGGCCTAAAAAGCAGTAGAAGATAACCAACGTGCTTAGGCCCCTGCATCCACATGGGAGACCTAGAAACAGCTCTTGGCGTCTGGCTTCAGATTGGCACAGCTCCAACCTTACAGCCATTTGGGGAGTGAATCAGCTGATGGAGTCTCTCTCTCTCTCTCTCTCTCTCTCTCTCTCTCTCTGCCTATGTCTCTCTGTAACTCTGCCTTTCAAATAAATAAATCTTTTAAAAATAGGAAATTTCAGATGCTATGTAGTGAGGTGATGAAATACAGATGTGAAACTCCCAATCTGGAGCCTGGCCCTGGAGTTCTTTTGGTCTTCAGCAGGCACTGACTACAAAAGCACCTCCCTGAGTTCTGCGTGTCTGTCTTTCCCCAGATTGTGAGAAGTTTAAAAACATCATTGAGTCCATACTGACCAAGAAGCTCCACTTGGAGGAGCCGCTGGCAGAGAAGCCCACGGTCCCAGAGCTGCTCAGGTAAGGGTCTCTGTGTGGGACAGGCAGGTGGGGAGGTGTGTGGGTGTCTCCGGTGGGGCAGCTCAGAAGGGAGAACTGAGGCATCTCAGGCATGGAAAGCCAAGGCACTGTGGCAAACAATGTTCTCCATGTAGGATCACTGTGGGACCCCAGACAAAGAAGTGGCCATCAAAGGAGGATGCACTTTTCTCTAAGGGAGGAGAGAACTTCCACTTTGCTGATGGCCTTGTCTAAATACAGACAGAGTTTTCAAAATGCTTCCATAGCCTAGTCAGCTCATGTCATGAGCCTTGTGTGGTCCCTGACAACATACAGAGGAGTGCTAATTGTTCAATTAACAGCAGGAGTCACTGTGCACTGACTCCCCATGCAGGACCTCTGTCCTCAATGAGTTGTATTAAGAGAGAGTTACAGTGAAACATTTCTCAAACAGTTTTTATTCTTGGGTGGGTGTGTGTGCACATTGTTGAAATCGTTACTTAATATAGAGTTGGTCTTCTGTGTACAAAGTTCATTGAAAATGCATCTTAAAGGAGAATGAGATTGAGAAGTAGAGAGGGAAGAGGAGCTGGGCTGGGAGTGTGGGTGGTACCCTGGGTATGGGGAGAAGAATAACTATATTCCTAAAGTTGTCTTATGAAATGTATATTACTTACAATAAATGAATGAATAAATTTTTAGAAAGAAATGGTAAAAATTAATTTTACAATGAAAGTAAAAGTGAATAGGTACTTTGAAAAAATTCTCCCTACAGGAGAATTTAAAATGAAAATACTATTCCCTCCGCAATTACTGTTTATTTCTGTAATAAAATGGTATGAATAGATAATAAAAAAAAGACATCATGGAGTCCATGTTGACCAAGAAGCTACATGGGGAGGCCCCTGCCAAAGCAGTCCAGGTCTGCTGAGCTGCTCAGGTAAGGCTCTCTGTGTAGGGCAGGCAGGTGGGGATGTGTGACACTAGTGGGCAGCCCAAATCAAAAACTGAGCCAGCCTGTGCCAGACAAGGGCAGAGAGTTTCAGCAAAGCCCCATGTCTCAGACGTTATGAAACAAGGAGGGAGCAGAGGAATCTGAATTCAGAGCTGCAAGTGCGGAGAGTCTGTAAGTAAGGTGTCCAGGTGGATGGGCTCCCATGGGGCCCTCCTGTTTACTCTCTCTTCTGCAACAGGAAATCCCCATGGCTGTGTTTCTGGGAATCCAGTCACCAGTTAGCTTTGGTCCTCTGTAGGTGGTGCTATGCCTGTTCTCTCTTCCTCCCATGTTCTCATGGTTCCCTTAGTGTGGAGGTGCTTTTCTGTGGTCACTCACCTCAAGATGGAGCTGCATTGGGTCTTCTCAGGGGAGGTAGAGGGGATGCTGGGCTCCTCTGATTGGTCATCTTGCAATCAATCCTCATTTCCCCTTAGTCACCATCACCTCCTGATATAGAAGACTGATGCTCAGCTTGGCCCTGCCAGACCTTCATTCTTGTTTCTTGCCATGTAACCCCTGTGTGCACCATGAATCCCAGTCACTACACTGTACACTGTGTGTCTTCCTACGTGGAAATGCCTGTGGCTGGAAGGAGGAACTGAATTAGCACCTTTATGAAGGCGAGAAAGGAAGAATCCTTGCACTGTTGATAGAACATGACCTGAATGGAATCTCAGGAATTGTGACAAGATCTTTCTCTAAAAGTGGGAGCAAGGCCTTGTGTTGCCCTTTGCTTTTCTTGGCACAGGTATTTCTCCAAACCTGAGTGGTGATGCTGGTGGAGGGCTCTATAAGGCATTGTTATGAAAATCTGTGGAAATACAGAGAGCCTAACACTCATCCCTTCCCATCTAGAACTTTCTCCATGCTTGCACCTTAGGCATTGCCGTGGCATCCTTGAAGATCAGGACCAAGAACTTTCCCAGTTACGCCCAAAGGTCCAAAGGGGGAGAAATCTAGCCCACATCCTGCAGCAGTACCTGAAGGACGTGCTCACCGTGCATGACCCTGAGACCTGTACGGGGCAGGGCTTCCGACGACTGCTCACTGAGGCTGTCCGGCTGTCAGCGTGCCTTGAGGACCTGCTAGGAGCAGGTAAGCTGGGCACAGGCTGTCATGTGAGAAGCCTCAGGGGTTCAGATGCATTCATCTCTGCCATGGGCATTTGCCTCAGCTCTTCTTGGTACTGAACATGTGTACCAGGACAAGGTCAGCACTGCTTGGGAAAAACAGATAGGGGCAGAGAAGTCTTTCAAGTTTGCAGTATCCCAAAGGTCTCCTCCCTTCCTGATTGTGGTTGGCCATTGGGGGAAGAGGCAGGGTCCATCCTCATATCAAGACCAGAAAGACCTTGTGAAGTGAGGCCACTGTTAGGCTGAACAAAGTCACTGAGCTAACTTGAATGGAAGCCTCCAGCTCTGTGCTCAGTGTGGTTTTCAAATGGTAGACAGCTGATTGCTTTCTCCATCCAGGATTTCTCTTGCCTCATTCACTAGATGGACCAAAAACTCTGGGGCAGAGCAGATGTAACCATCAAAGGTGGAAGCTGTTGCTTGTAGGTTTCCCAATAGGACAAAGGCCCTCCTCTCCCTGGGAGTGTCAGACCAGGCACTAGAGTTAGTAGAACTTCAGTGAGGAAAGCTGTTGAGAAGGGACTCATAACACAGAGAGAATTTCCTCTAATGATACAGCAGAGAAAACGTGGAGGGCCTGTGAAGGAGGGATGGAAGTCGGGTTCTTTGCTTCTTCATGACAGCTGGAGTTTCTCTGTGAGACCCATGGGAACATAGAACCCATGCCTTGGACTCCCACTAGTGGCAGGATGAGGGATAACAGGCAGAAGTCCCAGGGAAGCTTGAGAAGCTTCCAGTGATATGGGAGCAAAGGATGTTGGCCTAGTTTCAGGCAGATTCTGCCATGATTCTGATCTCCAAGTGCAGAGACACAAAGCCTAATGGACCACAAGAGAATGGTAAGGCATTTCTTTAAACACAGAACATTTGAAGTTTTTGTCCACTATTGGCCCATATGTAGATATTCATATGCACACAGAGGCCACCTTGATTGTAATGGGGGCAGTGATATTATCTGATTGGACATTTCTGAATCTGTTTACAGAAAATATTGAAGAGGAGGAAACACCAGCACAAGGACCTGTTGCTGACAGGTAATAGTGAATGATTAGGAGCTGGCAACAAATGGGTGAAGGATGCACAGGGTCTCGTAAAGAACAGAAAAGGGGCCGAGGCAGTCATGGAGTTGAGGCACACACAGAAACACAACTGCAGATTGTGTTGAGTCCTTCCTTGACAACTAGGAAATCCCCCTGTTAAAGTAGGTGTCTGTTGTCCTGGTCCGAGTTGCTGATAGGATCCATCATGAACTCACAGCCTTAGGTGTTGCCTGCACACAAAGGGAACCTCTGTTCTCTGCTTTCTGGAAAAGGGAGGAAGATGTGCATCTGCTTTCTACAGAGTTAGCTGAAGTTCTCACCAGAGAAAACTAACAAAGAGGCAATGGGCAAAGGGGGCAGTTAGGAAGAATCCAGCCAGGTTCAACTGCAGAAAAGCACCTCTACAAAACCATGTTTGCTGTCCTGTGACTTGGTTAAGAGAAGGCCCAGAAGGTAGCACATCTCTAGAATCTGCCAAGCCCCTAGAACCTTGATCACATGGCTGCAGGACACTGCAACAACCCAACCTGAGCACAGGGTGTCAGCCCGCGTGGCTGTCAATGTGTGCTTGTGCTGTGACTGTGCCATGCAGCGACAGTGGAGGCTGCTTCCTCATTAGCTGCTGTGTATTGAGTGTGATGAGCAGAGGCTGATCTCTTCCCAGGCCCTCTCCCCCTAGGCAGCCACACGGTGTCCAGAGTGGAGGGAACAACCTCTATGCTGTCTATGACTGATCCCTTATGCACCCCATCCAAACCAGCCACCTCCTTGGTGTCTCTTCCTTCTTGGTTTAATCTCTGTCATCCTTATCCCACCTGGCTTCTCAGGGAGCTCTTGGAAGTGGATGAAATGGAAACCCCACAAAATTCACAGCAGGAAACATCTATCACTGGTGCTGTTGACCACCTGCTGAGTGACTCCTGCCTGCCTGAGGGCACTGTGCAAATGTCTCCTGATGCTGAGGACACCCACAGTGTGCTAGGTGTAGATGGGGAACACGCTTGTTCACAAAAGAAAGAAGAACCTGTCACCGTTCTCCCAGGTAGCCTCTCCATTCTTTGTACACAATGGCTCTCAGGTTGAGGGTCACTTTTGAGCACAGGCCCTGCAGACACAAGTTGGTTTCAGTCAGGGTCCAGGTTGTGGCACTGAACATAGACATCAGGAGAGTCAAGGAGCTTCCCTCCCCTCAGATGCAGTTTGTCTCACTGCACCCTAGCCTAAGGGAACATACAGAGGCCCTGTGTAGGAAGTGCCTTTCAGACACTCTAACTTAGAAATAATGCCTGCTGTCACCCGCAGTGATATCATTCTGTTCTACTACTGCATCCCTGGAGTTCTAGCCCCATGCAGGCTTTTAGTAACACTTCCCATGTGTGGGCCAAGTTGTGATCCTAGTTTCCCTACTTCCATCCCTAGTCTCTATCTCCTTTAAGACAGCTTATCTTAGCTATGCAATCATCCCAAAACCAGGATATAAAGTCTTTTATACTGTACTTCCTGTACAGTTCAAAAACATAGCTGAATCCAGGAACGTCCCTACAAAATCAATGTTCAATGTTTCTCTATAACTGCATAGATTTATTTGTGCGAGGTATTATGGAGTTCATTCAGCCTTCTTTAGAAACTCCTCTACCCTTATTCACCATGATCAGTCTGATAGGATGAGTCAGTAACATAGCAACACTCCTAGATTTTAGATACATAAATCCTAAAGGGCCTGGGGAGAGAGCTCTTGAATTGCTTGTATTGTTCCCATAGACAAGAGGGAGATTACTCATGAGGAACGCTTAGAAGAGCCAAGATTCTGTGTGGCATCAAACAGGTTTCAATTCCAGGGCATGCAGACTCCATGCATAGCTCTCTCCCAGTGTTCTACCTCCTCTCCACAGTCAGCAACCTGGGTCCTTTAATGAGAGCAGCCTGACAACTGCAGTTTGCCTCCTAGGAAGTTCTTGGGCTGTGAGCTTAGAATCCCTGAGGACCATTGCAGGCTGTTTCTAAGGGTTCTGGACAGAGGTTATTGAGATGCTGATCCAACTGTGAACAGGGAGATTTGACCCCTTGCCCAGGATGGCTCACCAAGCCCATCTCCTGATGTCAACTTAGTCCTCCTGGAGGATTTCTGTCACAGTCTCCTGTTGTCACACAAGAACAATCTGTCCCCTTGGTAGTAGTGGCCATCGGACACGCATATCTGACCAAAACCTGCTTAACCTGTTCAATCTCTCTGAATTTGTTTGCAGAAAATCAATATCACGAAGTGGAGGTACAAGAGCAAGTTGTCACATACACTTCCAGGTAACTCGGAGGCAGAGCAGACACTGTAGCATGGACTACTAGGGAATCAAAATGCTGGAGAAACTGGTCACTAGAGCCAGTTGGAACATTCAGCCAATGATGAAATGGCTCTTTTCATAACGTTCCCTTTTGCATTGTTTCCCTCTATATTCCCCCTTTGAACATCCCTCACATATTTTAACCTGTAGTCTGATGACAAAGTCACTTCTGTACCTGTGATGCATGTCTTCAGTGTCTCTGCCCTCCCATCCCAGCAGGGAGCTCCCAGAGGAGCAAGAGCGGGAAGACCCAGAGGACTCACTGGACGAGTGCTACCTCACTCCCTCGATTTTTCCGGTCGTTTCTGAGCTTGACCATTCCACGTGGAGCAGCTGGTGCTCCCTGGAGCAGCAGGACATGCTCTCTGCTCCAGATGCAAATGGTGAGTCCTCCACTGTGAGGTGATACAACCCCCTCTGCTTGCCAAGGAGCCCGCACTATCCTTGCACTCATCACTCCCACCTGACTGAGAGGGCTCCTGGACATGGGATGGTCTGAGACGTTCTCAGCATCTGTTCTTTTTCAACCAGTCTGTTGCACAGGTGTGGTTGGCCCATCCAGCCTTGCTGTCCTCCCATTCCTTGTGTGGCTTTGTCACTCAGATTCCAGTGCTCAGTCATTGCCAGAAGAATGTCACAGATGCACACCCACCTAAGCAGCACATCTCATGCTTGTCTCTGCCATCCATTCCTAATGAAGCAGACCCCTCTGCCCCCTGCAGTGTTGATCACACGAGTCATTCCCCATCCCTGTCATGTGACATTGCTTCCTGTCAGAGCCAGCAGCATGCTCGTCTCCATTGCAGTCAAGATACTCCCCCTGTTTCATTGAACCCAACCACGTTGTCTGTCCCTTCAACGTTGGCATCATTTCACCTACCACACATACAAAATGTTCTGTCATTCCTTTAGTAGTGTGTCCCCAGGCTGCAGGTCTGAGACCTGTGCTTAGAGATTCCATGAGTAGCCAAGTTTTCTCTTGTGCTGCACACATTCACTCTGATACCCAGAACTGAAAATTCACCTGTTCCACCTTTTATCTTATCCTCAATGTACAAAATATGGTAAACCACAAACTACCAAGAGAGCTTGTTTGAGAACCATGGGCACTGCACTTCCTCTCATGGAAAGGAATCACACTAGGAACCAAGCATCTCCAGAGAATATTATTTTAGATTTGATTTTACCTTATGAAAGGCAGAATTAGAGAAACAGGGAGAGAGAGAGAGAAACAGGGAGAGAGAGAGAGAGGCAACTCTTGCATACTCTGGTCTGCTCCCCACATGGCCACAATGGCATCGACTGGACCAGGCCCAGGGAGGAACTAGGAGTTTCCTCCAGGTCTCCTATGTGGGTGCAGGGCCCAAGTACTGGACCATCTTCTACTGCATTCCCAGGTGCATTAGAGGGATTTGGATCAGAAGTAGAACAGCCAGGACTTGATCCGGCATTGACATGGGATCCTGGGGTTAAAGGCAGCAGCTTTACCTGCTTGCCACAGCAACCACACTTGGGAAAATTTGTTTCATTTCTGTAGGTAATCAGGTCAGTGATTATTGGTGTGATGACTGGAGGAATAGGGAGGTTTACCTCATGTGTCAAGAAAAATGAACAAGCTAGTTCCCTCAGAAATGACCTCCACCCTCTAGACAATTCCTATCTGAGGAGTCGGCAGTGACACTGAGGATACTGGTGTGCTGTGCTAGTGCTGGACAGCGCATTGCACAGGCTTTGAGGGGATCATCCTAGATGACTGTGCCTATTTGAATTCATTTGCAGAAAAGGAACATGACAATGATGAAATGCAAGAGGAAGCACAAGCCCTGTCACACACCAGGTGAGTCTTAGGAACCCTGGGCAGCGAGCTTAGTGCTGACCCGGGCAGACTCCAGGTCCAGAGAAGAAGAGCAGTGCCACTGTGCATCTCCCATCCATTGAGCCAACCCTGCGGCACCCCGTCAGCACTGCTGTCTGCCATCATTAGGGTACTAGTCTGGGTTTCCACTTCTCCCTACCTTTTCCACGTAGTGACCTGCAGCAGGCTGACTCCATGAAGGAGCCTCTCCAGGGATTCCTTGCCATCATTGCCTCTCTCGTGTGCAGTGAAGGGCAGGGTGCTGCTCACAGGTCTCCTCTTCTCATGAGCTTCTCTGCCCCCCATTAATCATGTAAAACAACCTGACAGAAACTAGTGCCTCAGCACTGAGAATAAGACTGACGGCTAAATCCGTGGTAGTCTCCAGTATCCCACAAGGGGAATTCATTGACTCTGCATGTAGTTTACATAAATCTGTTGAAGCCAGTTTTCATTTCCCAAATACTCATGGGTACTAGTGGACCAACTGAGAGTCATTTCTCCAGGCTGAGTCCCTAATGACCTCAAAACAGAGGAAATCCTCTGTTTCTCTCTGCTTCTGTCTCCATGCCCTGTCAATATCTCCGCTACTCACTTATCACCTCAAACCTAATACTCTTTCTCCAAGAAGATGAGAGTTCTGTTTGCCTGTTTACTTTAAAATGACTTCAAGCAGTACAAATAAGCATAAAGAAGTCTACAAGCACACATAGATTTAATATTTGGCTGTAGTTGATTCATGTGTAAATATTATATATCTACACATACTTACCATTCTAAGTGAAGGCAGTTGTGTTTCTGTTTTACCTGGCTTTCTGTTTGCCACGTGCTTCCTATGAGCACTTCATTTTTCCTCACATGAAAGCTGCCCTGTGATAACGTTCAGTTCATCTACTCCAGGTGGTCAGCAAGGAGCCTCCTCAAATGGAAGACATTGCATCCTGTCTGCACCGTTAGTAGCCAGTCTTCCCCAGATAGGGACAAAGTTGTGGGTGGCCCCTTGCTCAGCCCAGCCACTTCTGGAAGCCTCCTCTTGGAACAGCTTGGAAAGGGGCTTTCTGTTCCTTCTATGTTTCTCACCCACCTTTCCCTCCCTCCAATCTCATCAGGGAGATTCCAGAGATTGAAGATCAAGATGTCTCACAAGACTCTCACGGTACGTGTTTAACTCCTACACTTCTTCTGGAAGCTTCTGACTGGCCCCATTCTAGGAGCACCTGGTCCTCACTGGAGAAACAGCCTGTCTGCTCTGCTCTTGTTGTAGACAGTGAGTGCTCCATTGTGAACGGGAACACTCCACTGGTCTCCCAGGTGGCCTCTGTAGTCTTGGGTTGCTGCACCTGTGTTGGGTGAGACAGACCACTGTGCACTCAGGCCCTGGGCACTTATCTCAGTCTGGATGTGGCTCTTGGGTGGAGTTTGCTCATAGTCATCCAACAGGGGAATCCCTTGGCTGTCACCAGGCCCACTTTCAAGGCGCAGCTTTTGACGTCAAGACAGGGAAGGAGGGGATGGGAATGCAGGATGGCAAACACTGAGCCACCACCATTTCTCTTGGAGAGGTTTCTTGAAGAAGTCACTGTGATGTTCTTAATTTTAACAACAGTTGCAATTGTAAACAGCATCCTCCAAACTTCTCAGGCTTAAAGCTTTGGCAGTCTGTATGATGTTTCCTTAGTTATCTGACACTAGGTATCCTTGGTTGGCAGACTCTGTTTTCTCTGAAGCAGCTTGGTGCTAACCACAGCAGTCCAGTCCCGCACCTGTCTCCATGGTGTGGTTTTCATCTTCTGCTTTACAGCACTGATTTGTGCTCATATGAGGTCTGTAGTTTTAATCCAGTGTCTAAACTCGGCATTTTTTTCTCCTGTAAAGCCTCCATAATCTTGCACCAGGACAGGAATCTATTCAGTATCTGAGTGAGGCTGAGGGGTCCCTCACGTCATCACAGGCAGAGTGCCTCTTGTTGAGTAGGAGCCTTGAAGTATTGCTTCATGGGGGGGGAGGCAGAGAAAAAGTCCAATTTCCTTGAATCTGATCTTCAATGAGGTTTTACACTTTCTCTCAGCAAGAATCACTCATCAAATCATTCAGTAGGAAAATCACGAAATCCTGATGCCCTTCCCTGTTTCTCAGTGTTCTGGAGTAGAATTGGCAATGACAGTTGTCCCCCCAGTGCTATAGATCAGCAGGCACCTTTTCTTGGTGAGACCATGCGCTTTTCCTCTGTACAGATGTACAGAGATGTGCAGAGTCATCCCAGGACACAGCGATTCACACCCAGCTATGAAGGCCACTCTCATGGGCATCTGTGCTGTGCTAGACCCTGTGCCATCCTGATCCATGCAACCCTCACTGGACCTCTCCTGGTGGAGATTCTGTCCCCACCTTGGGGAGAGGATCCTGAGGCTCAACAAGGTCACTCTCCCAGGTCACCCCACCTTGTGTGCATTGCAATCAGAGACCACTCCTTGGCCTACCCCTTGTCTGTAGGCTCAGTCCACTTGTTTTCAGCAGACATGCCAGCGAGGTGGCTGCTATGGGTACTCACACTTAAAACTTTTCTTCTGTAACAAATTGTGTTGAGAGAATTTCAAATATCAGTAGAAAAGTTCTGGTCTGCAAACAAGAACTTCTAAAGGCCCTGCACAACATCTCCCACTAGGAAGGCATCGGTGTGCTTCGTCCCTGAGCAGGGTCAGCACCTCATTGAGGTTCTCAGATAGAACTCCAGCTCAGGAGTGCCCCATGGCCTGAGAGTTCCTGGTCTCTCCCCTCGGACTTTTTGCACTCAGTGTCCCAGTGAGGCATGCCCATCTCCATTTCTGTCCAAAATGGTTGCTGTTTCACAGAACAGAGTTCCCTGGATGAACGTTTCTAGGCTCCAGTTGTGCCTGGGATGTCTGACTGCAAGCATACAGGAGCTGCTTATGCTCAGAAAGCCAGAGCAGATTGGTGGGCAGTTTATGTACAGAATGATCCCTTTTGAGAGTTGGTAAACCTTTATCTCTGTCCCTGGTGACTGCTCTGTCCTTGTACTCCTATCCCCACTAGGATGAGTGAAGTCATTGCTACGTGCCAGACCTACAGACTTGTGGCTATAGACTCAAAATCCTGAATTGAGCTGTAAGCAGGAGTTAGAATTCATGATTGTTTATTTGTTATGGAACAGAGCTGTGACCATTTCACAGCAAGCTCAGCAGCATGTGCCCCGGTGGTGTTTGCTCCCTCCTGGTGGGAACCTTGGAGGATCACTGTCGCCACTTGCTTACTTTTTCTTCAATGCCAATCCTCAGCTCTGCCCTTTGACATCCATGCTTATCCAGGCCACAGCATCCATATAGGCATCTCTGTCGTTCATGTTCTCAATGGCGTTTCCATTGGAAGATGAATTGACTAGGGAAGAGTTCATCCAGAAATACATGCTCTTGAATTGCTTGTATTGTTCCCATAGACAAGAGGGAGATTATTCATGAGCAACTCTTAGAAGAGCCAAGATTCTGTGTGGCATCAAACAGGTTTCAATTCCAGGGCATCAGACTCCATGCATAGCTCTCTCCCAGTGTTCTACCTCCTCTCCACAGTCAGCAACCTGGGTCCTTTAATGAGAGCAGCCAGATGACTGCAGTTTGCCTCCTAGGAAGTTCTTGGGCTGTGAGCTTAGAATCCCTGAGGACCATTGCAGGCTGTTTCTAAGGGTTCTGGACAGAGGTTATTGAGATGCTGATCCAACTGTGAGCAGGGAGATTTGACCCCTTGCCCAGGATGGCTCACCAAGCCCATCTCCTGAGTCGACTTAGTCCTCCTGGAGGACTTCTGTCACAGTCTCCTGTTCTCACATGAGAACAATCTGTCCCCTTGATAGTAGTGGCCATCGGTAACCCATATCTGACCTAAAACCTGCTTAACCTGTTCAATCTCTCTGAATTTGTTTGCAGAAAATCAATATCACGAAGTGGAGGTACCAGAGAAAACTGTCACATACACTTCCAGGTAACTTGGAGGCAGAGCAAACAGTGTAGCATGGACTACTACGGAATTGGTAGCCAGTCTTCCCCAGATAGGGACAAAGTTGTGGGTGGCCCCTTGCTCAGCCCAGCCACTTCTGGAAGCCTCCTCTTTGGAACAGCTTGTAAAGGGGCTTTCTGTTCCCTTTCTGTTTCTCACCCACCTTTCCCTCCCTCCAGTCTCATCAGGGAGATTCCAGAGATTGAAGATCAAGATGTCTCACAAGACTCTCACGGTACGCGTTTGACTCCTACACTTCTTCCGGAAGCTTCTGACTGGTCCCATTCTAGGAGCACCTGGTCCTCACTGGAGAAACAGCCTGTCTGCTCTGCTCTTGTTGTAGACAGTGAGTGCTCCATTGTGAACGGGAACACTCCACTGGTCTCCCAGGTGGCCTCTGTAGTCTTGGGTTGCTACACCTGTGTTGAGTGAGACAGACCACTGTGCACTCAGGCCCTGGGCACTTATCTCAGTCTGGATGTGGCTTTTGGGTGGAGTTTGTTCATAGTCATCCAACGGGGGAATCCCTTGGCTGTCACCAGGCCCACTTTCAAGGTGCAGCTTTTGACGTCAAGATAGGGAAGGAGGGAATGGGAAGGCATGATGGCAAACACTGAGCCACCACCATCTCTCTTGGAGAGGCTTCTTTAACAAGTCACTGTGATGTTCTTAATTTTAACAACAGTTGCAATTGTAAACAGCATCCTCCAAACTTCTCAGGCTTAAAGCTTTGGCAGTCTGTATGATGTTTCCTTAGTTATCTGATACTAGGTATCCTTGGTTGGCAGATTCTCTGTTTTCTCTGAAGCAGCTTGGTGCTAACCACAGCAGTCCAGTCCCGCACCTGTGTCCATGGTGTGGTTTTCATCTTCTGCTTTACAGCACTGATTTGTGCTCATATGAGGTCTGTAGTTTTAATCCAGTGTCTAAACTCAGCATTTTATTCTCATGCAAAGCTTCCATAACCTTGCACCACGACAGGAATCTATTCAGTATCTGAGTGAGGCTGAGGGGTCCCTCACGTCATCACAGGCAGAGTGCCTCTTGTTGAGTAGGAGCCTTGGAGTATGCCTTCATGGGGGGAGGCAGAGAAAAAGTCCAATTTCCTTGAATCTGAGCTTCAATGAACTTTTACACTTTCTCTCAGGAGGAATCTTTAGGGTTTGAGGCACCTTCACTCATCAAATCATTCTGTAGGAAAATCACGAAATCCTGATGCCCTTCCCTGTTTCTCAGTGTTCTGGAGTAGAATTGGCAATGACAGTTGTCCCCCCAGTGCTATAGATCAGCAGGCACCTTTTCTTGGTGAGACCATGCGCTTTTCCTCTGTACAGATGTACAGAGATGTGCAGAGTCATCCCAGGACACAGCGATTCACACCCAGCTATGAAGGCCACTCTCATGGGCATCTGTGCTGTGCTAGACCCTGTGCCATCCTGATCCATGCAACCCTCACTGGACCTCTCCTGGTGGAGATTCTGTCCCCACCTTGGGGAGAGGATCCTGAGGCTCAACAAGGTCACTCTCCCAGGTCACCCCACCTTGTGTGCATTGCAATCAGAGACCACTCCTTGGCCTACCCCTTGTCTGTAGGCTCAGTCCACTTGTTTTCAGCAGACATGCCAGCAATGTGGCTGCTATGGGTACTCACACTTAAAACTTTTCTTCTGTAACAAATTGTGTTGAGAGAATTTCAAATATCAGTAGAAAAGTTCTGGTCTGCAAACAAGAACTTCTAAAGGCCCTGCACAACATCTCCCACTAGGAAGGCATCGGTGTGCTTCGTCCCTGAGCAGGGTCCACACCTCATTGAGGTGCTCCAGATAGAACTCCAGCTCAGGCAGTGCCCCATGGCCTGAGAGTTCCTGGTCTCTCCCCTCGGGCTTTTTTCACTCAGTGTCCCAGTGAGGCCTTGAACTTGTCTTTGCCACAGACTAGTGCTTGTGTGGCTTTGTCTCAGAAACACCCAGTGCCAGGGCTGGGAAGTCATGAGGAAGCAGGCAAGTGCACAACACTGCCTCAGGAGGGAGATGTGTGTGCTAGGCCAAAGCAATGCCTTACCTCCCACCTGGGATTTCTTCCTGACTTTTGTGTTTCACCTTAGCTTGTCTCTCCATTCTTCAGGTGCCTGTAACTAGGTTCCCACTTCAACTGACCAGAAAATGATGGCCACATCATGTATATTATTATCTATATGACAGACACTGAAGGCATATATCCTATGAATCGATGTGCTTGGTGTTTGTTCAGCAAAGCATGTGCATGTATGAAATGCATGTGTTCTTGTGCTAGATGTGTCCATTCCAGCTGTTAGTGGTCCCCTGTCCTTGTCTCTCATTACAATGCCCTCCAGGTTAGATGATCCTGCTCCATCCCCCCAAACCTTCAACAGATATCCAGTGTGGTTTCTGTGCCTTAAAAGCTTAAGAGCTGTGTGTTTTATTAGTTCAACTTTGTTGAATATTGTGATCATCTGAGCCATGTTTATTACTTTTGCCTAGTGATAAATTATCAGTGAGTATGTATAAAATCAACCCAAATGAAAACATTTTAGTGTCTGTGCAGATTTCATCTCCCACTTCAGACAAGACTGTCCAGGGCCCCTTTCCTTACTTGTTGTCCCTCTGCTGCAGGCCTGACTGCCAGAGAGAGAGCATGAATACCAATCCTGATGGCTGTGGTTCTATTTCAGAACTGAGTTTTGTTGATGCCCCTGAGAGGAAGACCCGTTCCCAGCTGGAGGGAGGTCCTCACAAAGATCCCATCACCAGCAAGAGTGAGAGTCATAGCATCAGCCCCAGTGATGTCCCAAGTACCCCAAAAGAAAATGTTATCAAAGGAAAACAGAAGCCCAGGAAATGCAAACTGGCCTGCCGGTTCCCTGGCCTGGAGATGAAGGGAAAACCACAGCCCACAGAGAGGAAGATTGCGTGCCGATTCCCTGGCCAGGAGATGAAGGGAAAACCACAGCCCATGGAGTGCCACCTCGCATGGAGATTCCCTGACCAGGAGATGAAGGAAAAACCACAGACCAACATGTGGGCACTGACCTTCAGATTCCTGGGCCTTCACGCCTAGACAGAGGTAATCCTGTGTGTGTGTCTTAGATGTACTTGTTCCTTCTTACACTGGGAACAGATTATAGCTCATTTCTGTTTGTTCAGATAGGGTAGAACTGTAACCTCTCTGTTTGGATCAATAATTGGAAATAGAAGATACAGTAAGAAATCCTTGTCATGTAGAAACCTGACCCACAAAATAGAATACCTCCCCTCATAATCAAGTTAAAATGTTTACAGTTGAACTTCTCTCCCTAAAACATGCTGTTCACCATCCACTCACTTGATTGCAAGCCCTCTATTGGGTTGAGAAATATACATTGAACAATCACATTTTATCTAATCTTGTTCCTAGGCCAATTTCCAATGCGGATTCTTAGGTCTCATTCTCCAATGTTTGTCCTTCCCTCTGACCGGTATACAAACAGGATATTCTCAAAAAGAAAATTTCTTAGGGGAACTGAAAAAAATGGGGAAACTCTAGGATGACTAAAGAGTGCCTGTTTTAAAGTTAATGTTCCCTTCAGAGTCGAGTGAGTGAGCTATTAGGCACACAGCAGAATGGTCCTAGGTGTAACTAGATGTGGAATCATCTTCAGAGAAACTTGGTGTCTGTTCTATTGACATGAGTTGTGCTGTGGTTACACTCCCGGCTCTCTTTGCTTACTGCAGAAAACTAATCCATTTCTAATGCACCAGAGAGCAGGAGGAATTGGGGTGACATCACCCACTCCTGGTTAGGAGAGGCCAAGGGCCCTGGTTCCCCAGCACTGCAGAGCTTGGCTGGAGTTCAGGGCAGGACTCTGCTCATTTGGCTGCCACTTCCCTCTCAGCAGCCCAGGGCTCCCCTTCAGCCAGTCTCCCCACTGGAGCTGAGTTTGCCTGGCCTCTGCCCCACTGCGGCCCAGATACAGGCTCAGCTCTCACCTGGACCTGACCCAGCTCTCCTTTGATTTTTCTTCTCTCCCTCTTTCAGATCCCAAGTACAGTTGGAAGTACAGAACAGTATTGCTGATTGTAACATCCCCACCTCTTCCAAACATCTACCACAGGAGCTCCACTTCAACAGCAACCAGAACACCAAGAACGCAATTTCAACACCATGAACTGTCCTCGGCTATTTTTATCCACTAGCCTGCTTCCCTGAGAGCTGGCACAGTCTTCAACTCCAATCCGAGTAAACACCTAAGGAGACCCAGGCCTGACTGCACAGCTGCTCTGGAGAGAACACAACCTGGCTCCTCTCCAACTGCCTCCTGTAGAGATCTGAGGTCAGGAGGAGCTGGAAGCAAACAGCATAGGACTCTGGGCACACACTGCCTTTGGATGGGGCGAGCTCAGTGTGGGCAGTGTCAGAGACACAGCACCCTGCACACAAGGCTGCATGTGAGCAGAGGAGAGGATAGGACTCTGCAGGACGTGGACCCTGACCCAGACAGCTGGCCCTCTCCTTCACACAGCCAGCATCCGCATAGAGGACAGCAGGAGGAGGAGACTTTGGGGCTCAAAAGGACAGGAAGGGTCTCTTTCCTCCTTTTGAACCCCAACCATCTCCCCCTTCTGCTGTCTTCCATGATGGGAACGCTGACTGTGTGAAGGCGCAGGCCAGGTGTCTGGCTCGGGGTCTGCATCCTGAGGATCTCTGATGCTTTCCTCAATTTTACACTCAGCCTCACTCTTTGGCCAAGCACCTGATGCAGGGAGTGCCGTGTGCTCCCTCCCACACCCCCGCAGGAGGCAGAGAACATCTTGTGTGCCCATCAGGTCCCCTGACCCTGGCATCGGTCAGTTGGTGAAAGCTGTCTGTTGATCTGTACATCCTAAAGATGCGCTCCTTCCTCTGTATCCTAACAACTGTGGAGAAGGTGACCCCTCAGAGCCTGAGCAAAAAGGGAGTGAGCAGCAGCCCTGGCGGAGGTCCAGTCATCAACCCAGGAGGTGGCTGTCGATGGGCGTGATAACAGCAAGTTCATGGTGATGAATGCAGCAGTGTGGCCAGAAGGGGCCAGGTGGGTGAGGTGGACTGAGCCTGCATCAAGGAACCAGACACCTCTCTGAACACTCCTCTCTCCACGTCCAGAGTCAGGCAGCACAGATGCGGGCAGGACCTTGTCATGGGGACGCTCATCTCCTACAGCTGCTGGTCCTGCCAACTCCACTCAGTGTTGCAGGAGAA